ATTCGGCGACCGTACTACCGTGGTTACGCGTGTACGCGACGTGTCGTGCTTCGTCCGGAACTTTGCTGATAAAAACCCGCGGCGCCTTGTGTGCCGCCTTAATTTATACGAATCAGTATTTGGAACACAATGAGACTTGAACTATATCGATCCATTGTGTTACCAAAATGCTGATCTGTTTAACCTACTTTAGACGCAAGTGACACTCGGGCTTCTAAGAACGAGTGCTCGCGTCAGCGCCTAATTGTTTAATAATTAAATAACTTTTGTCACAGGATTCTCGAGAAGTGGCCTCGATTAATGGCCTTCTAAATGTTTATTATTGTTATTGCCTAATTAACCTATAATTATTACGTTGTGGTCTTTCGACACACAACAATCGTAACGTTTTTTCCTACATTCGTTTTCTGTGTGTCCTATTTTCCTGCAGTAATTACAAGTTATTCGCGATGTATCGTTGAATCTATTTTGTCTAAATCTTTCTGAATGATAATTAGATGTTGTAATGTACCTAGTTGCACTTTCTGTTGCGTCTTCTAACGTGTTAAATTTTTGTGATAAAAGAAGTTGTGCCGTTTGATTGTGTAATCCGCCTAAGAAATGAGTAATTAATTTATTCATTGCAAAGATTCTTAGTCCTGCTCTTGCTGTTGGATTGGGGTAATTAGAAATTGCAAGGATCATTTCAGAGTTTAATTTTCTGGTTCTAGTAGCATAATTTTCAATGGATTCATTTCTTTTTTGCTGAAGTTTATTAATTTCCACTTCCCAATGGTCAAAACTTTTGGAATTTCCGAATTCCTTTTCTAATGCTTTGCATAAATCATCAAGATTATTTATTGTATAGATTGTTCTCACTAACGCGGCATCTCCCGTTAATTTAACTTGTAAGACCGATCTAAAGAAAAATAACCTATCGTCTGGCTCGACTAAGTCATTAACTCCTTTACAATCTGCTGTAAATTGCGTCACTGGAATATTTTTCCCATTAAAAACAGGTATGAGCGATAAACTATTACGGACGGGAAAATAGCTACTGTTACTCGTCGAGGATCTTCGACTTTCTAGATTTGTGCCAAAATGATCTACGCCTTGCGCTGACTCTACCGTTTCTGTTCGATCGTTCATATTGATTGTTTCTAGATTTGAGATTACGTGATTATGTTTAGAATTATTATCGCTAATATAACTAATCGACGAACTACTTTCCGAACTGTCTGTATTATAATGCGCTTTAGTGTCTCTAAAGTTTACAAAATTCATAGACTTACAGAAGTACGATGCGCAGCATATCTATGACGAGATGGTTCACGCCGCTGGTAGATATAGATGAATTGATGATGATGACGTAGATGAGATGATGATGAGGGTTGACCTTTTTTCGTGCTGGCCGTCCACGGAGTCTCGTTGTTGCTGTCCTTTTCCTTCGTTAGCTGCTGTGCTCGTCCAGGAGCGTCCTGATGCCTTTTTCCTCGGAGTAGGTTGTAAACTACACGTCGTGGTTTTATCGGCTAACAGACAGGATCTCAGCAGGTTGATCGAAATGTGCTCCCGTTAATTTCGTCAGGATAGCACCAAGTTATGATTGACCTCGGTTCTTCTACTTGATAGTCTTGCTTGGCTACGAAGTTTTCTCGAATTCCGGGTCTCTAACTTTCTTTCACTTGATATTAATTAACAGCAATCAGCTCAATTATAGCAAAAATTTCCGCACTTTTACACACAAACAATCCCACCGCTGCCACCAATTGTTACGAGCGTATAGCTACGTAATAGATTATTTAGAATAAATCGGGACACGTTTGTGGAAAAAGTCTTTATTCGGTGTTGCTGGTTTGAGCTTTGATCGAGAACTGAACTGGCGAGAATGATCTTCGTTTAAGGTGCTGTAGGAAAATCGTAGCGGCGGAATGTTTATTGGAAGGAAGCGGTTTTGTCAAAAGGAAAATATGCGTTAGGCATAGGGACAGCGTTTATGTTTATTGCAGTCATCGAAGGGTTACGTGTTTAGGATCAAGAAGGAGTAAAGATAAAAAGGTTCAAAGGTTCGAATAAAAAAAGAGTAATATAAGAAACTATAAGTTGCGGCACGTAACAAAGCGCAACAATATATATAATATTCTATTCTTTGTTTTCTAATATTCTATCCCTTTTTATTTGTGATTGTAGACCAACATGACATCTGGTGTGAACTGCTTTAACTGTCTTATTTTGCTCACATACTTTTTGGTAGAATACAATGAGCGTGAAAACACCTTACATTCTTACATCGTGGTTTATTTAACTTAATTTGGCTAGAGCACTAAAGATACAGGTATTCTCATCTGCGCCATTTTCGTTCCATTCCCCCACTCCTTGTCCTCTTGGTCCCTACAAAGTTCGAGCAGCTTAGAAGACATAACCTAAACATCATAAACTTCTCAGCTCAGCGACAAAGGGGCGAGAGGGCAAGGAGTGGGGAAATGGAACAAAAATGGCGCAGACGAGAATACTCACGTTTATATAAGGCACTATAAAACGTGAGTATTCTCACGTCTGCTCACGTCTCCGCCATTTTTATTCCATTCCTCCATTCCTTGCCCTTTCGCCTCTGTCACTGAGCTGAGAAGTTTATGATGATTAAGTTATGGCTTCTAAGCTGCTCAAACTCTGTGTTTACGGGTATTTTGATTATCCGACTGTGAACAAAAAAAAGATACAAAATGCCTTGCTGCGTTGCGGTCAATTGTACCAATAGAACAGAAAAAGGCGCTCGATTATTTTTGTTTCCTGCGGATGATGTTCGTCGACAGCAATGAATACGTAATCTCCGCAGAGAGTCTTGGACACCAACCAAATCATCGTGCCTCTGTGAAGTAATAAAATACACGTAAACACAGAGTTTGAGCAGCTTAGAAGCCATAACCTAATCATCATAAACTTCTCAGCTCACAATCAGTGACAGAGGCGAGAGGGCAAGGAGTGGGGGAATGGAACAAAAATGGCGGAGACGTGAGCAGACGTGAGAATACTCATGTTTTATAGTGCTTTAGTCACGTTTAAACGAATCACACGCTGCCTTGACACACTCGTCACGTTTAGATGAATCACACGTCGCCTTTATACACTCATCACATTTATACGAATTATTCGAATTACATTTATACCGATCACACGCAAACATTTATACACACCATTTATACCAACCATACATTGCATATACAAACTGTCATCTATCTCATTATTTATTAAATAAACATATCATTTTGTTATCATCTTTAAAAACGCGAGTTTTTATTGACGTACCCTCAACCGAACGAACCCGGATTCCGGCGAGCTATACCGCGCCCGAAAAGCTCACACGGTTTCAGTAGAGATTTCAAGCTTTCATTAAAAAAAAAATCAGGATTCTACAATGATTTTTCGCGGAGTTATCGTCCGTCAAAGTTGATCAATTTTTGCTCAAAATTTTTCTATGCCATAATTTTGTTGAGCAGTATATACAGTGTGTTTCATTTTAATCTAGCCAGCCGAATATTTCAAACGCTGTTGAGTTTAGAGAAAAATGTTTCAGACAAAAGTTGTAGGGTTCGGAGGGGGACATAAGATGGTGGGCTTGAGTTTTTGATGAAGGTAAAATTGAAGGTCATATAAAGGTCAACTTTGTTTTTTTAAATGAAATGTAGTATTTTTCATTGCATATTCTAAAAGAACATAAAATTCTGCATTAAAATAGTCTGACACGTTTTTTCATAAAAATCCATAATTTTTTAGGAAATTTAGCAATTAAAGAAAAAATGTTTGTTTTTCGTAAAGAGAATCATGCATCAATTTGTACATGTTCATGAACATTTCTCGTTCTTAGAGTTACCCGGAATCAACGGCGTGGACGTGACGAAAATCTGATTCCATCGGGGTGCTTGATTTACGTGAGTCACCTTGCCTCTCACTTTTGGGGTTGCTAAATTTGCTACATTTCTTCAAAAATTATGGATTTTCATGAAAAACGTGTCAGACAATTTTAATGCAGAATTTTATGTTCTTTCAGAATATGCATTGAAAAATACTACATTTCATTTAAAAAAACAAAGTTGACCTTCATATAACCTTCAATTTTACCTTCATCAAAAACTCAAGCCCACCATCTTGTGTCCCCCTCCAAACCCTACAACTTTTGTTTGAAACATTTTTCTCTAAACTCAACAGCATTTGAAATATTCGCCTGGCTAGATTAAAATGAAACACCCTGTATACAGGATGTATAAAAAATTCCAGGACGACAAGATATCTAGAAAACTATAAGTTTTATAAAAAAATGTTTCAGATAAAAGTTATAAGACTTAAAAAAGTTTATTTATTGGCTTTATCAGTTTGACCTTGGGTAACGTCACCAAAGTCAAGGTTAGGTCAGCTTAAATTTTTTAAACTGAACTTCCTACTTTTTATTGTATATTCTTATAGCCCTTCTTGAGACCTTTACAAAATACTATAATTTTATCTACTTTAGGTTAGCCGTTTCAAAGTTATCGAGGTTTTTATAGTAAAATGTCGGTAACTATAGGCCAGTCATGAAAACCGTTTATTATTTAGCTCTGACAATGAGTCTTACAAGTCTTTGTCCATTGTTCAGAAGGTCAGAAGGTACAATATATGCGAAAACCAGCTCATTTAACCGAAATCCAATTTCTAATGGAATTAGAGCGGGGTTCTTTCAAATTGTGCAAAATCCATACAGAAAAAATATTTGATGATATTAATACTCTACATATCAACAGATATGTATATAGACAGAATCTTTTGTCTTTATATCGAAAAATACTATAATTTGTAGGTCCCTTTCCCTGGCCTTTTGTTGGAAACCATTTTTACTTACGAAAATTAACCCGTGTACTTGGTGGACAACATTTAGCCTTTTTGGAGCTGAGCAAATTATATAACAGCGGTGTTGTTAGCTTACAATTAGGCGCCAGCAAAGTGATTGTTATCTCAAACGCTAAATTGATACAAGAAGTTTTAAACAAGGAAGAGTATGATGGGCGACCTTGGACCGAATTTATAAAAATTCGAAATTTCGGAATGAAAAAAGGTAATAAATTCAATTTGTTATTCTACGACCTCGCTATTTAGCATTTTACAACTTTGTCACAAATTTCTGAAAGAAAAATCTTGAAATTTTTAAGTAACAAGTAAAACTGATTTTTTTGGGGGGTTATACAAGTCAGATGGTCAAGAATCTAAATTAAGGACAATTTTTAATTAAAATTATTAATTGTGAAATCAGGAATTACGATGAACGACGGTCCTGATTGGAAGGAATTACGCGCTTGGTCAATACGCACCTTGAGGAGCATTGGTTTTGCTAAACGGGAAATGACAGAACTAATTACGAATGAACTTAAACTTATATTGGAGAGATTAAAGGACAATAGTGTGCAACACATACGACCTGCGATTGAGCCAGCTGTAATAAATGTTCTTTGGACATTAGTAACAGGAAAGCCACTCCACTACGATTTGAGGTGCATAATCGTTATAAAGTTTTACAATTGTAGTATTAGTATTTTACATGTTATATATATAGAATACAAGTTACCTTACAAGTTTTTTTTAAATTTATATATTTTATGGCATATTTTAAAACGTAGAAATTCCTGCTTAAAAAATTATCATTTGTGTCTAACTTTTAAAATAAAATAATGTAAAAAAGTGTCAATTACCTGAAATTTATTAGTAATGTTTAATGTATAATATATAAAATAAATTAATATATAGGGTGGCCCAATGAAAAGTTTCCACCCCAATTATAATTTGCACAGACTTGCGAAGTTAAGATACAAAAAGCAGAAAAGTGAACAGTTCCTACGTAATTTTGGTCGCTGAATCCGAATCCGTCAGCAAAAAATGTCCATCACGTCAAGTTTTTGAGAAAAATGGAGTAATATAGGCCAAAAACAGTGATTTTTGCCATTTTTAAGGCGTTATTATGACGGACTCAAATAATATTTCAACATTCTGTCTGCGGCATCTTAAAGCGCCATATTTTGTCTTCAAATTGCAACTTTTTTTATTCCTGTAAGGTTTTTTTTCGCCGAGTTATGAAGGTTTGAAGATGGCAACTTTTCGATGATCAGACTATGCACTGCCGAAATGGTGAAAAATCGACAATTCGGTGAATTATAAAATAAATATTTAAAAAATTGGTATCCGTGAGTTATTTAGGTCGCTGAACACGAGTCTGACGTCAGAATTACAAAATTCAAAACGTTCGTAACCGTTTCTCCCTATTTTGTCGATGCTTACTTCGTTCTCGCTCGCGCTTGTGCGTTCGGCACAGTAGAAAAATCTTTTTCTGCGTTCTAAAAACACTCTCCATAAAAACAATTTTTCTCTGCTTCTTTGTTAAAATATTGGGTGGATTTTCGAAAAGTTATCACCCCCGATTTGGCTGATATTCAGCCTAAATATTTATTTTATCTAGTAAATAATATTCCTAAATGGATTATTGGCGCAAATGTCCCCTCTGCCTTCCAGCCCCCCTCAAAGGTAAAACTGTTTTTATTAATTATTTTAGAAAGTATTCATTGTACGGAAAAAGTTGTTAAACAAAAAATGAAGCTCATAATAAACTCTACAAATAAGGTTCTATACATATTTTACCTAACTCCAATATTTTAGTCATTATTATCAAAAAAACTTGTAAAAGCCTAGTAGGAGGGTCGGCACTCACTGCATCCACGCATACACTTTACAACGCGAAGCGAGGTTCCACGTGGGTTTACGAGTTTCTACGCAAAGCGAGACTCAATCCAAATCCTATGTGTGTAGTTTTTTGATGGTGGAGCCCCCCGCAGGGAGACGGAACACACTGCCTCCAGATTTTTGATAATAATGGCTAAAATATTGGAGTTAGGTAAAATATGTATAGGACCTTATTTGTAAAGCATTTTATGAGCTTCATTTTTTGTTTGACAACTTTTTCCGTACAATAAACACTTTCTGAAATAATTAACAAAAACAGTTTTACCTTTGAGGAGGGCTGGGGAGCGTAGGGGGCATTTGCGCCAAAAATCCATTTGGGAATATTATTTACTAGATAAAATAAGTATTGAGACTGAAAATAAGCCAAATCGGAGGTGATAGCTTTTCGGAAGTTTATCCAAAATATTCAAATATTTTATTTAGGATACCTATATTACGTCGCAGAAATTCGAATCTTTCTAAATTTAACAGTTTCGTAAAAATATCCGCTAACTGATGTTTTATTCGCACATATTTTACACTTATCACACTGTTTTCAAGTCACGCACGTAATGACATATTTAACATCTATATGTCTAGCAAGCCCTACAATTTCTTTCGTCGTAGCCGCTGTGACATAATCAGTCCCATGTCAGTAGTGGAAAGCGCTATACTTTGATGTTTCTTGCTTAGCCGGATCGCAATTCGCGTAATACATGGTACACCGATTGATTAATGCGTCTCTTTGCCTCCGGCGACATCAGATGCTATCTGTACAGAATAAAAAGTTTCATAAGACAGTATTTAATTTTTGTATTAACGAACGGAAATATATTTGAGAATTTTTTAAAATTTCTTTATCTCTTTATCTCTTTTGTAATACCATATTATTGATTCTTTTTCACTTTCGCACACGACACTTTCGTACATGGTTTTATCTCCTGGTCATAGTTTGTCTTCGAATAACAAAGATGTCGACGCGAAAATGTATTAATAATCCAGATTTTTGCTACATTTGTGGTAAGTACACTCTCGAAAAACAAAGACGGCCATTAACGGAACAATTGAAAATAAATTACCGTAATTATTTTGACAGAGAAATCAGCAATCAGGATAAAAAGTGGGTCCCTCATTCATTTTGTAATACTTGTGTTTCGAGTCTCTCTTTATGGAAGCGTAGAATAAAGATAATGCCTTTTGCAATCCTTATGACATGGAAGAAACCTCAGTCTCATGATGACTGCTATTTTTATCAATGCAAATTGCAAGGATTTAATGCTAACAACAAGAAAAGTATTCAATATGCTAATGTGTCGTCAGTAATAAAACCAATTCCCTATGGACCTGACTATCCTATACCATTGCCGCCAGTAATAGAATCTGATGATATTCATGATGTCGAATGTATGGAAGATGATCCTGAATTTGTTGATGTACAAGTTGATGAAACGCCTTAACTCTTTACTCAAAGTGATTTGAACGATTTGGTTCGAGATTTGTCACTGAGTAAAGAGAATGCTGAAATTCTAGGCTCGCGTTTAAAAGAAAAGAATTTACTTGTACCAGAGACAACGTTCTATTGGTACAGGAATAGAGAAAAAGAATTCTTTTCATTTTTTGCACAGGAAGGTCCTTTAGTTTTTTGCAAAGATATTAGAGGATTGATGAAAAACTTGGGGCATAATGCTTATAATGCAGATGAATGGAGACTTTTTATTGACTCCTCAAAAAGAAGTTTGAAGGCAGTACTATTGCATAATGGAAATAAATATGCATCAATACTGGTTTCTCATCTATTTAAAAAAAAACATACGAAAATCTCGAAGTTGTTCTCAGGACTATCAAGTATGATGAGCATAAGTGGAATATTTGTGGGGATCTGAAAATTATATCCATGGTCCTTGGCCAACAGTCTAGGTACACCAAATACTCTTGCTTCTTATGCCAGTGGGATAGTAGGGCACGTCAAGAGCATTGGACGAAAAATGTGTGGTCACCTAGGGAATGTTTACTTCTGGGGTCAATGAATGTTGTGAATTCTTCTCTTGTACCACCGTCTAAAGTGCTTTTACCTCCACTGCACATTAAATTAGGGCTCATCAAATAGTTTGTCGAGGCACTGAATAAAGAAGGAGAATGTTTTCAGTACATATGCAAAAAATTTCCAGGGCTTAGTGACGCAAAAATAAAAGGTGTTTTTATTGGTCTCGACATAAAAAAATTGATGAAAGACTCTGATTTTCAGGCAACAATGACGTCTGTTGAACGAATTGTTTGGGACGCATTCAAAAATGTTGTGGAAGATTTCTTGGGAAATAAAAGAGACAAGAATTACAAAATTCTTGTACAGAAAATGCTGACAAGCTTCAAGTATCTCAATTGTAACATAAGTTTAAAGATTTATTTTTTACGTAGTTATTTGGACTATTTTCCTGAAAAATTAGCATGTTAGTGACGAACAAGGAGAGAGATTCCATCAAGACATAAAAGAAATGGAAAGACGATACCAAGGCAGATGGAATGTTAACATGTTGGCAGATTACTGCTGGTGCCTCAAACGTGACAATTACAATGCATGTCACAGACGGAACAGCCATAAGCGTTCTTTCGAAGGAGTGTAAATGTTTTCAGTTATGGATCTTCTCCCAATCTTGCCTTTATTGGCTGAGTAAAATCTCGCTCTTGCCTCAGCTGACTGGATGATTTTCGGATCTTAAGTAGGTAGTGTTGGATTAGATTAAGTGTTAGATTAAGTAGATAGTGTAATTGTTAGATTAGAATCATAATTTTCTGTACTACACTAATTTCAGTGAGGCTATTTAGGTGACGAGGTTAGCATTATTATTTTCCCATGGCCTGACTAGGCTAGATTTGGTTATGTCATATATATCTGGTATTTTATATATGTTTTCTATAAAAATCCGGTTAAAAAATAACAAAAATCTATTTTCCATATTGCAATTTCTGTTTGTTCGTAGTTTGCATGCGTTAATTTCAGAGTTAATTTCAGTTTATTAACTGTGCAGGAGTTGTTTTTGAGCTGCCACTTTGAATTTTGTAATTCTGACGTCAAATTCGTGTTCAGCGACCTAAATAACCCACGGATACCAATTTTTTATATATTTACTTTCTAATTCACCGAATTGTCGATTTTTCACCATTTCGGCAATGCATAGTATCATCGTCGAAAAGTTCCCATCTTCAAACCTTTATAACTCGGCGAAAAAAAATCGTACAGGAATAAAAAAAATCGCAATTTGAAGAAAAAAGATGGCACTTTAAGATGCCGTAGACAAAATGTTAAAAGTTTATTTGAGTCAGTCATAATAACGCCTTGAATATGGCAAAAAAAAACTGTTTTTGGCCTATATTACTCCATTTTTCTCAAAAACCTGACGTGATGGACATTTTTTGCTGACGGATTCGGATTCAGCAGCCAAAATTACCTAGGAAATCACTATTCTGCTTTTTGTATCTTTTAGGACCCTTAATTTCGCAGGCCTGTGTAATTCATCAAAAAAATTGCACAGCGATTTATTACTATTCAAATTAAAGGGAAAATATCTTATATAAAATGCAAGAAATTCTCTATGATTTTTTCCATGTCAGGTATAATGCAGCAAAGTTGTATTAAAAATTTTTATTTTGACGGATCAAGCTTTACATCGTGTCGTTTTGTAAAAAAAAAAAATTAAAATCCGCAAAAGGCATTTGAAAGAAAAAGTTTCAAAGCTTCAAAATGCTTTTCTTGGAATTAAAATACGATGATTTTTTGCGGAATAATTTGAACATCTTTTTAAGCAATTTTTCATGATCCTTTAATTATTGTGAGTTGTGTATGATAATATAAATTAGAACAATTAAATAATTTGAGAAAGAATTTTATTCTCTATTCTAAGTGATTTGTTTATTTTATACATATTTTTAATAGCCAAGTTTCATAGATTTTATTTCTAAAAAGCTCAAACGGAAATGTAGATCAATCATTACATTATGTACGTTTGCATTGAGATACAATCGCTTATCATCTCAATTTTGCGACTACTTACAGATTAAAGTTTATGAATTTATTGAATCGTCGTATGCAAGCTTTCGACATGGCGGGTGGACTTCTCTCTGCTTTTCCCTGGATACGTTACGTAATACCCAAGGTCTCAGGATACAAACTCCTCGTTGAGTTTAATCAAGAACTCAAGAGTTTTCTAATGGTGTGTGACTGATCATTTTTTTTTGAATTTTAGAGTTTATTTTGTATTTATTGATACTTATGATTGATACTTTGTTTTGAATGTTCAGGATATTATTAATGATCATAAAGAACGATATGTCGAAGGAAGCAAAGCAGACTTTATTGACATGTTTCTCAGCGAGATATTTAAACATGAAGACAAAAAATCTATCTTTACAGGTATGAGTTTAGTTTCCTATTATAAATTATTTTAAGAAAATAATGCAACTGATGGAATTTGTTATATTTAAACATTTATTTATTTCACATATAATAGTAAGGCTCCATATG